CAATATACTTGCTTGAGGCCATTGCGCTCAAGAGCTTGGACTACGCTCAAGATATGATCTGGAGTGTGAGAAATATGGCCCATGTGGACTTTAAGGCTTTAAGAGGCACTCAAACGGTCTACAAGCCGGGAAAGAACGACTCCGAGTTCTTCAAAAGTTCGAGACAGGCTCAAGTTGATAGGAACTGGGATAATCTAAATGTCAAGATTGACAAAAGAGAAGTGATCTATACCACGAACCAATATACCGTGGCTGCGATCGTCACCAAGCATTTCATCACTCAAGCGATGAGAGAAAAGTTAAGCAATGAAACTGATTGGTTGGACCTCAAGGAAGACCATGTGATGCTGTTGAAGCGTATCAAGGCGTTCATGACCATCACAGGACTCATGGAATCTCTCAAGAGATTCACCAACTGGACTCAGAAGCAAAATGAGTCTGTGAACGATTACAGAAGGCGGTTCGAAGCTCAAGCTGACCAAGTATTCGAAATCCTTGGCACCGATGTGTTGCATGTCTATGCGACCAAAACAATGGGATACCTGGATCTGTATGATCCGGAGGCCGATCCGGACGATATCAAGGCGCTCCAAGACAAGTTCAAGAAAGAAGTTCTGGGCACATTTAAAGCAAGTGCATTTTTCTACAACTGCGACAGGTCTCGCTTCCAAAGCATGTTGTACAAGGCAAACCAGACCTACACCATGGAATTCAAGGAATACAAACAAGGAAACGAATATCCGACTACGATTGACCAGGTCGCTAAAGCGCTGATCAAACATAAGCCGGACAATAGAAAGAAAGGTCCGACGACACCGAGACCTACTCCAAGCGCAACCACTGCGAGCAGCAGTGCCCCTGACGGAGTGAGCAACGCACAGGCGACTACTCGAACGACATCTTCACGACCGGCTTTTAGTTGCTGGTGTTGCAGAGATACTGGCCATGGGGTCACCCGCTGTCCCGAACGCTCCACACGCCCACAAGTGGAATGGAGCGACCCAGGACGATACAGCGACGCACCCACTACTACTACTACTACTACTACTACTACTACTACTACTACTACTACTACTACTACTACTACTACTACTACTACTACTACTACTACTACTACTACTACTACTACTACTACTACTACTACTACTACTACAAGACGAGCGGGGAGAGCCAATCTCCAAGTCCCTGCGACTGCATCTGCGGCGCAGTCGGATGCCGCGTCTAGCGTCACTGGAACGCAATCAACTGGTCAACAACATCGAATTAATATGCAACGAGCTGTTGTTGACAGGAGTGGAAGGGTTAGGAACCGGGCACTGTGTCTGACCTGGATTACATGTTCAACTACGGTACGAACACTGGCCAACGTGATCTGCATCAGCAGGTCGAATCAAGTATTATCAAAGGACACACTTGCTTGCTTGATACAGAAGCGCAATGTAACCTCGATAGTTTATCCGAGCTTGTGAAGCTTGGATTCTGTGTCGTTATGGACACTGATATTGAAAACTCCTTCATCGTTACGAAGGGGGAACAAAGCATGAGGTATGTACATCAAAACGGATTGTATACTTTTGTGCCCGATGGTAGGGCAGAGAGTGATGAATGGTCCGAATACTCTGAATGTGAATACAGAGAATGGGGAAATTGTGACTGTGACGCGATTGGTGTCGCACACACTGAATGCCATAAATGTGGTGTTATTTTCTGTGGTAAAAATTAGCTATTCCGATTCCGATTATTGTGGCATACAGACGGTACGGGAGAATATCGAAGGCTTCACTGATAAACAAGTTGAGCGGGCTAATCGCGCACGATCAGTGTATCATATGGCTGGTGCACCAGGCGTGAAAGCGTTTCGTATTGCAGTAAGATCTGGTTTGTTCAAGAACTGCAATGTGAATGAAGAAGATGCAATCATTGCCGAAAAGATATATGGACCTGGTTCTTTGGTCCTAAAAGGAATGACAAAGCGTCCCACACCTGAAGGAGTGCGGGATGACTGGATAGAAATACCAAAGGAGTTATTAATGCACAATCTGAGTGTTGTGCTGCACATTGATCTTGTTTTTTTTAACAATTCATTCGGACTCACGACCATTGATGGGAGTGTGAGATACCGGTGCTACATACCCTTGGCTTCACGATCCAAAACGGCATTGTATGACGCAATCAATAAATGCTTGGACTATATAATGCACGTGATTTCACAGTGGAAAAGATTTACTGTGATGGGGAGTTCCGTCCGGTATTTGAGCCCGTGAAAGACGAACTTGAAGTTCATATGAATTACGCCAGCAGAGGCGAACATGATCCGAAAGCGGAACGAAATAATCAACATTTAAAAGCACTGTTTCGGGTTCACTTTCACCGAATGCCATTCAAGGCGATTCCAAAGAAGTTAACTGTGGCACTTATGACAAGAGTTGCAAAAATATCCAACTACTATCCGGCAAAAGGTGGGTTGTCTGCATACTACAGCCCGCATATGATTATGCATCAACGAATGGTTGATGCCTCTAAAGAATTTGTCGCTGAGATTGGTGCATATGTCCATGGATATGGCCATGACACTAAGATTAATATGGCTGCTTGAACGATCGAAGGTGTTTACATGGGATTCACCAACGATATTCAAGAAGGACACCGTATCTATGATCTGAACACAAAGTGCAAGGCACGACGTGCGAAAATCGCGGTTCTTCCAATGACTGACCAAGTCATCAAGATTATAGAAGAAGACGCAAGATTGGAAGGAGTGACAAAATTACGCACCTATTCCAAGCGTAATGGCGAGCTAATCCTTGATGGTGATTTGCTCGAAGGAGTGGACCCAGATGAACTGTGGGATGAAAACTACGTACCAGTAAACGAAATCGAAAGACTGAGTGATGTAACCCTCCGAAATGAAAATATTCCAGATGACGAGCTTGATGAATTACTAATGGATGCTGAAGCAGACATAATGGAAGCGAGGTTCGACAGGGACAGAAACCCAAGATAGGATAGCGAGGCTAATAAATATGAAGATGAGCTCGAGGACGAAATGTTCGACAGAATGTTCAAGAAGATTAAGGCTAAACAAGATGCTGAAGATCTGATGGACGAAGACTACCAAGAACACGAATGGATAACTGCCAATGAGGACATGGACTATGAAGACGAATATGAGTCTGAACTAGACGATGAAGAAACCAAGCAAATGTTAGACGAACTGGCAGCTGAGTTAGTGGAACTTGGAAAACCAGACAAAGAAGAAGTTCTGTTCGAATTTGATGACGACACACAAGAAGATGTGGCTGTTGAATCAGAAGAGGAAGATGGTGTCGCTCGCGCAGGAGTGAGATTCGCGGACACAGATGATAATGAGTCCGACACCAAAGGAATTGTAAGAAGCTACAGTGACGACAGTGTCGAAGTTGGAGCGAAACGGGTACTTCGCCCAAGACACAATCGATCCTACTTCTCACAAGGGGTAAAAATGAGACCCACTGAGAGATACAGAAGAGAGAAATCAAGATTTGGATAGGCATACCTGCAAAGAAGGAATCCGCCTGTGCCAAACGTTTTGAGAAACAGGCGTGCGATGAGAAGAAAAGCCCAAATGAAAAGACTCCGAGTCTTGCTGTATCAAGCGATTAAGAAACGAATTGACACGCAAAGAAATGGAGCACGGTTGCAAAGAAACCATAAGTACGAGCGTTCCATGCGAGAACGCATGCACAATTTGGCATTCCAACAAGTCGGGAACACAATTTGGCATTCCAACAAGTCGGGAACACAAACAAAGGCGAATATGACGCTGACGAAGCGTTGGTAGTCGCTCGTGTTATTCAACAAATACGTGAGGGTGTCAACGGTGGTATCAATGGGCAAGACGGAGTCTCGTTCATTCAGCAATACTATCTGAATAAAGGACTGAAGATCTTCAAGGAGCGAGGTAAAGACGCGGCCATGAAAGAACTTGACCAACTGATCAAGCGCAGTTGCTGGACACCAATCAGTATTGAGAAACTAAAGCCGACCGAAAGAAAGAAGGCCGTAGATGCAATGATGCTACTGGCCGAAAAGAATGATGGCGTGACAATCAAAGGACGCTGTGTATTCAAAGGTAACGAGACCCGGAATTGGTTGTCTCGTGAGGACACTGCAAGTCCCACAGCTTTGCGGCGAAGCTATTGTCTGCACGGGTGCAATTGATGCCCACAAAGGTAGAAACGTCATGTCAATGGATATACCTAACGCGTTTATCCAAACATTGATGCCCGAGCAGGAAGAAGGAGAAGCTGGACTGCTGGTTGACTACATGATTGACCTAGATCCGACGTATTGGGATTTTGTAGTAATCGAAAATGGACGTCAAGTGATCTATGTTGTGATCCTCCGTGCTATTTATGGGATGTTACAGGCTTCGTTGCTATGGTACCGAAATCTGAGGGCATCGCTGGAAGAATACGGATTCGTGTTTAATGTATACAATCCGTGCATTGCAAATATGATGGTCAACAAAAAGCAATTGACTATCAGATTTTATGTTGAGGATGTGCTAGCGAGCCACATGGAACAAAGAGTTCTCGAGGATTTCTTTACATGGATAAATGAGAGATACGGAGGACTAAAGGAAGTGACTTGCACATGGGGACGAGTTCACACCTATCTGGGAATGACATTGGATTATTCAAAGAAAGGAACGCTGAAGATTCGAATGGACGATTATGTTCAAAGAATGCTCGACAAGTTTTCTGTCAAGTTTAAAGAGGATGACAAACAGGAAACACCTGCTGGCAATAATTTGCTGGGGGTAGGAAAAGGAAAACTGGCAATAAGTTGCTGGGGGTAGGAAAAGGAAAACTATTGGATAAAGATCAACAGACCGAGTTTCACAGGTTTGTTGCAAAACATTTGTTTATGCATCCGACGGTGGCAATTTTGGCATCACGAGTTCAAAATCCAAATCAGAGTGATTGGCATAAACTCGTGAGACTTATGAGATACATGCACTCTACCAAGAAATGGCATCTCACGCTGAGCGCTGACAACCTTTGTGTAATGAAGTGGTATGTTGATGCATCTTTTGCGGTTCACCCTGACTTCAAGAGTCATACAGGAGGAGTGATGACCATGGGTGGCGGAGCTATGCAGGCTATGTCCAAGAAACAGAAGCTAAACAGCCGCAGCAGTACACATGCGGAACTAATCGGAGTAGATGATGCGATCACACAAGTGTTGTGGACACGCATGTTCATGGAAGAACAGGGTGATCCGATTGAGAAGAATATCTTGTACCAAGACAATATGAGCTCTATTCTCCTCGAAAGAACGGGAGATCGAGTCCAGGAAAGAGAAGCCGCACATTGAACATCCGTTGTTTCTTTGTCACTGATCAGGTTGAGAAAGGAAATCTTACGATCAAACACATGCCGACCGATGACATGTGGGGGGATTATATGAAGAAAATTTGCAAGGGAAAAAGTTCCGCAAATTTTGGGCATTGATCCAAGGGGATCAGGAAGATTAGATATAACCGTCTTGGGTTATATATACATGTTACATATTACAAGAAGAAAGGATTCGTTATCGCAACTGGAGTCGTCAAAACGACAGGAGTGTGTTGGTGAAATGGGATCTTAATAGGTATAAGAACAGTCAAACATGTCCGACAGTGAAGTCGGACATTTGTGATATCGAACACGGACAGAAGTACGGTTCGAGTACGTACAGAGATGGATAAGTATTGAAGGTAGATCTACTCTGTGACTAGTTCGTGAAGAACATGTGTGTATGTGCTTTATACGCCGCGACAGCTGGTAAGAGCTGACGCAGACGGCTTCCGGAAGAGATTTTTTGTACCTGCTTGTGGAGATCATTGTTGATCGACTTCTGGCAAGAATAGCAGTAGAACAAGATCGAATAGGAAGTGGTGAGACTGTTCATCCGCAGGTTGAAGCCCAGCATCACTGGCACCTGTTCCTATTGTAGGCAATCCATAGCCGACG